TACAATCCTGAACATGGACAGATTTGAGCCCATTTAGCTTCATGGCGTGTACTTCAACAATGCGGCCTGCATATGGCATGTACTGTAGTGTGTCCAGGGCTGTGATTGGTGGCAGGTGCGCTCCTGTCTGCTGTCCCGGGACATGTCGAGCGGTTCTGAAAAGTGAGCCTCTGTAGCATTCTTTACATTTCTGCTCCAGATAAATAAAGTGACAGCAACGTGTCATGTACCAGTATCAGCAGCAGCTACAGCATAGTGCATATGTGCATATCTGTATGTGGCAGAAATGAACAGTAACTGCATGTTTTGGGATATATTGAAGTTAGATATTTTATGGAGAATCATCCATATTTCGTGTACATAAATCTGTTGTGTGCTTTTCTGCTTTTTGAATACATTAAGTTGTGAACTATATTGTTTTAGGTCCAGGGTTTGGTTTCAAAACAACAAAAAAATGAACTATAAGTAAGTAGTAAGTAATTGTTTATTTCAAACTTTTTTTTTTATACAGCAGGACAATACACACACAAAAAAACATTAACTTTGAAGAATACAGTTTGAAAATGGGTTAGACGAAGCAAATGCTTATTGGGCTCCAACCCCCCCCCCCCCCATTCACACAAAAATATGTATATATGTAGTTCCTCACATGCACAATTTCTGGCCTCTTGTCACATCTTTCGATAATTTTTTTCAGACAGTAACGTGAAAATAAAGGTTTTCTGTGGTTGTTCAAGACTCTTTCTGTTATTTATGAAAAAGAAACAAGTTAGAAAACCTAGCTTGAGTAAAGAGAATAATGAATACCAAACTGTAGTATTATTTGATGGTATGTGAAGTGAACGCCCAGAGGCAGAGCAGCAGCGTAACATAGTGACAAGTGGACAGTGTCCTTCTGTTATCCTCTGTCCCATTGAAGAGCTGTGATAACAAAACATTCCTGACTGATGAAGGCTTCTGTCGCTGACAAAACAGCCGCACAGCAACAGAAGCACATACAAATGATGTTGACAGAATAATAGAATAATAATACATGGGGTCATAATACTGTATATACTGGTACATTTTCCATGGTATGAGATCTAAGTAAACCGGGTTTTTGTTAGTTTTGTTGTTGTTTTTCCCCACAGTTATTGTCATCATAATAGTTCGGTACAACTATTATTTTATTTTATTTTATCTTAAATTTATTGTCTATTATCTTAAATAATAGACTTTGATGTGTGCAATCTGAGTGCTCTTATTTCCTTTCTCTGCTGTAATGTGCAACGATGACACTGAAATTTCTCCACTGTGAGACTAATAAAGGTTTATCTTATCTTATCTTAAGATTGATATTTTTTGTGTTTTTCAGTCACACCATGGCAACAAAGTTTACTCATTTTGTAACCTTAATTATTGTGTGTTTGATAGACAATACAGTAATGATTAAAACCAACCTATAATGCCTTAAGAATATGTACATTTCAAACCAGAGATTATGCATACATACTATTTTATGTTGACATATTTATCCAATGGAGGTTAACGTCGCGTAGGAAAGATAAACGTAATTCTATTGTGCGTTGACACAGATGTAGTCAGATGACAGCGTATGTTTTGAGCTCATTCCCAGGCTGTGAATGCTCTTCATAATGGGCCTTATCTGCTCCATCTCCACAAAGCTGAGCATGTCTCTAGTGTCAGCGGATGTGCAGGGGGCCGCCGGGAATACGACGGCATGGGACAGACCGCCGCGACTTCACAGAGATATTAGAACGCTGTTTACCATCACTCACTAACATCACAGACATTCAGGCAACAGTTTAGAACAGCACTGGTGTCTTGTGGGACAGAAAATATCATATAAACACATAACTTTGTCATTTATGAAATTGAGTCTACAGCATATTCTAAATTCTGTTTGTAAAAGCATCTGGAGAAATATCAACGTGTTCAATAAATATTAGATGTTGGGAGTGGGGAGGTTCTTTGTAATACGATACTATTTCAGTTGTAGATGGTCGAGGAAGTACATTCAAAATACAGTATGTTGCTATGTATTTGATATAAAAAGAACTGCAGGATTACATAAAAAAAAAAAAATAATAATAATAATAATCACAATATTTGGGGCGGCAGTAGCTCAGTTGGTAGAGCAGTGGCCTTTGAGCCTGGAGGTCGTGAGTTCGATTCCCACCATGGGACCTACTCCAACTGCTCCCACTGATGTCTACTGTCGTTGTGTCCTTGGGCAAGACACTTAACCCCATGTTGCCTGAAGCCCCCGCTGAAAGACCAAGGCTGTTTCACCACTGACAGAGCAGCCATCTTCCTGTGGACTCACCCCCTGCAGAGGATCAGCGAGGGACTGGTGCTATGAGCAATGGGTGGCAGCTCTCATTGCCACCCCCCTGACCCAGAAATGGACAAAAAGGGCTTGAAAATGAAATGAAATGAAACAATATTTGTGGCTGCAAACTGCATATCGCAAAAGCTGCAATCATTCAAGTCCTTTGTGAACCAAATAATGCATACAATGGTTTAATTTAAGATAGGGAAATTGATTTGACCACAGTAGATGTTTGTTGTTTACGAAAAACATGCTTGACCATTGATTACTTACAGTATATATTATGAATTCAATTTTAATCTGTCACGAATGCCAGAAAAATGCAAGTTGATACCAATAAGAGATCTGATCAGCAGTGTATTTTCTCTGTAATTTGACAACACCAGTAAAAGCAATGTTTATATTTGTCTTTTACACAGCCAAAATCACATGTAATTCAGTAATCAATCTTAACACTCATTCCTGCATAAAAGTTGCCAGTGTTTTCCCTGCATGTAGAACACCTGTGCTGCTAGGTAAAGGACAAAAACCAGATGGAGGCAACCAAAGGAACAGGCAACCCAAATGAGAGACGTTTTACATTCTATTTGGATAAAACAAAATCAGCTTTAACTCTTTGGCACAGAAAAGAAAACAGATTTTGTATTGTTCCAACTTAATTTGAACTAATCCAATATATAAAGTCGCTGTCTGCTAATTGTAGCAATCGATTGTATTTTGAACAATACAAGACGTGAGCATGCTGTGAAGAAATGTTGTCCTCAATAATATATCAGATTATAAAGTGCTTTTCATACCATCCATCCATTTTCTTCCCCTTAATCCATTTCTGGGTCGGGGGGGCGGCAGTCAGAGCTGCACCCAGTACACAGAGCACCAGCCCCTCACTGATCCTCCTGCAGGTGGTGAGTCCACAGGAGCTGAGATCTTTCAGCTGGGGCTTCAGGCAAAGTGGAGTTAAGTGTCTTGCCCAAGGACACAACGACAGCAGTCATCAGTGGGAGTCATGAAGTAGGTCTTATGGTGGGCTCGAACCCACAACCTTCAGGCTCAAAGGCCAATGCTCTACCACCTGAGCTACTGTCACCCCTACTGTCACAAATGAAGGATTTTCATACCATAAATTCAATTACAGTAGATTAAAAACAATACAATACAACAGGTTATGACTCCCAAAAGAACATTCACTGCAGAATAGAGTAAACATAATTAAACAAAACCCCTATTTTGTTAAAACTCGTCCATAAAATGTTCTCGATTACAGGCCTCTTTGGATCTAATCAAAAACTAGATAAAAAAACGAATTAATTTTCAAACAATATCGTCATTACTGGCCTAAGTTGTAAATATTGACTTTGTATATAAGAAACAAACCAACCCCTTACCCAACATGGTGTCTGCAACTCATTGCATTGCACCAAAAGCCCATAATTTTCTGCCGTTGTTGCAAAGAAAAGATGCATCTCTGGTCTAGACATCGCACCATAAATCTGGGTTGTTTATCTTTTCCCAGGCCTCGTCCTCCGCTTTGCTTTCTCTCCATTTTGCAGCATTTCAGCACTTCATTATGCCCCCTAAGCACAAACTGTAAACTTCCTGCCGCTGTCCCAGAGACGAACCACACCCAACAATTATTACACGCACACATTAAACAATTCTATCTAAAAAAATAAAAAATCTCCATCTGCCGTAAGCCCTGCTGCAATGGCTCGAAGGTGTTGTGGTTTATCTGCGTTTTCTGACACCAGCCACGTTTCCACTGAGCTAATCTTCTCGTGGGCGTTTGGATCTGTCAAGCTTCGGGCTGTTTTTGAATCGTGTTTTGAATGAGATCTCGCAGGCAATTGGCAAATGAAGGATTTCAAGAAGTTCCGATTGGGGCAGGGATTATTACAGTACTCGGCTACTTTTGTTACTTTGATACCGCAATTTCAGTGTGTTAGATAAAAGGATTGGCTGAAGAGTATATTATTCTTGTTGTGATGTTGTTTCTTTGCTTTGGCATTACTGCGTGTGTACTATCTTCTCTGTCCGGTGCACATTGGTGTAGTCTTGCACGGTTTTTCTAATGTGGTTTTACTGCAAATCGCAAATAAAGTCTTGAATCTTTACATTTGAATCTACCGTTTACTTTTGAATACGTTTGAAGTACAGGCCTGGCCAATCTGGGGTGAAATAAAATCAAGATTATTGATTGAATTTGATTTTTGTACATTGGGATATACACTAGAGCACGACAGAGGGAATATATATTTCATTCATGTATTCTGTACATATTTCAGAGAATCTTTGCTCACTTTTCTCTTCAAAACAGTGAGTTTACGGGAAAAAAATGCCTGATAATATGTTGATAATTGAATTTGAAGTCTATGATTCAGAGATGGAATATTTATAATATTATGGCATTATATATTGATTAGTTCTGAATTCTTTATATTACCTCAACTAACAGATTATGAAGCATGTTTTAGCACAATTTTGATTGGATTTCTACTGGGAATGACATCTTAGTATCATTTATTAAGCATATGGAAGTTGAATGATGATGAAAGATTGTTCAAGGCAATATTTTGAGACAGAGAGAGAGAGAGAGATTTGGTCCCTATAGATCGCACTATTTGAGAAGAAATGATCCACGGATGTAACGTTGATTTCTTTCTCTTTTCAGACTGATGTAAACGCGTGTTACCTTCGAGCGGCGCGGGCGGGTAACGTGGAGAAGGCTCTGGAATATCTGAAGAATGGAGTGGACATCAACATCTGCAATCAGGTGAGGCCTCCCGCTTCCCATTTTAGCAAAAACATAACGGTATTGTGATTTTGACATACGTGTATCTTGCGCTCAGAACGGCCTCAACGCTCTGCACCTGGCGTCGAAGGAGGGCCATGTGGAAGTGGTGTCGGCCCTCATCAAACACGGGGCCAACGTGGATGCAGCCACAAAGGTTACAATCCCCAGATATTGAAGTGGATGATTACATTTTGTGATTTTTTTCTCGCTATTAATCATGCTGCCGAAACTAACACATACAGTACACGTTTTTATCTAAAGTGCTGTTATCTATTTGTAAAATAGTGGCTTTCTTGTTTCAGAAAGGGAACACAGCTCTGCACATAGCATCGCTCGCTGGGCAGACGGACGTGGTCAAGGAACTCGTTACTCATGGGGCCAACGTCAACTCACAATCACAGGTACGACTGTTCATTCTGCTGTTCAAAAGTTGGGTTTGTTATTCTGACCGACTACAAGGGGGTGTGGCAGAAGCTCAGAAAACCATATATTATGTGTCCGATCTAAAAAATTGCACTTGAGAAATGGTTTTTGTGGTTCTTTTGAAAGACAAGTTAGATGTATTGCTTTGTTAATATGTTCAAAACGGTAACACAATAACATCTAAGTTGTCTTTCAAAAGCACCACAACATTGGTTTTTAACTCAAGACAAAATGAACCTTTTTGAATGCGCTTAAGAAACTACTGAAGTACTGCAAATGGAGAAATGTATCTCTTTTTGAAATACCGTCCGTCCGTCCGTTTTCTTCCGCTTCATCCGTTGCCGGGTCGCGGGGGCAGCAGTCTAAGCAGAGACGCCCAGCCTTCCCTATCCACACACACTTCCTCCAGCTCGTCCGGCGGGACCCCAAGGCGTTCCCAGGCCAGCTGAGAGACATAGTCCCTCCAGCGTGTCCTGGGTCTTCCCCGGGGCCTCCTCTCGGTGGGACGTGCCCGGAACACCTCCCCAGGGAGGCGTCCAGGAGGCATTCGGAACAGATGCCCGAGCCACCTCAACTGGTTCCTCTCGACGTGGAGTAGCAGCGGCTCTACTCCGAGCTCCTCCCGTGTGACTGAGCTCCTCACCCTATCTCTAAGGGAGCGCCCAGCCACTCTGCGGAGGAAGCTCATTTTTTACAGTATATTCTGATAATTTTTGTTGGATTCAGATGTTTGCTCTCCCATATATATCCTTAAGATTAGTCGCCATTTTTGGTCGACCAAGAAACCATCAACAGATTAATCGACTTGATGACTAAAACTTACAGTATTTAGAGATACATTATACAGTTGAGTCAAAATGATCGTGGTTGTTGTTAGTTGAGTTACAACATCCGAACAGATGTGTTACAGCCAAAACACAATCAATAATTCATCCAAAGCAGCACTCATTAACTGCTTCATAGACACATATCCCTCTGCAGTTTCTTACCGTCTATACTTTTGGGTGAACTGCCTACATCACCATTGGTTTACCAGTAGATATATTTGCAGTATTCTCCCATTATGCTCCTTGTAAATAAAAATTCCTGCCTAATATTATCAATTGTGGGCTCACCCTAAGCTTGTTTAAGAGTAAACTAAAGACTTCCTTGTTTAGACTTTCTTATCTTAAGGTAGTGCGGTAATCTCTTCATTATCTTTTGTTTTGGTGCACTGTCTTTGGAAAGCTCATTGGGTTGCAGTCTTTTCTCCAATTTACTTTTTCTTCTTTTGCTTCAATGTTACGAGATGAAATCATAGAACGAACAACAATACAGCCTAATGATATGTTTAGCTTAATTCAATCCTATCATTACAAATGGGTGTACAGATGATGTCCTCCCTCTCCTGTGTGTGTGTGTGTGTGTGTGTGTGTGTGTGTGTGTGTGTGTGTGTGTGTGTGTGCGTGTTTGTGTGAGTGTGTGCATGTTTGTGTGAGTGCGTTTGTGTGTCTGCTACAGAGAAAGTGCAGAGTCAGCGGCTCTTGTCCCACTTTCACAGTCAGCAACCGCCCTGTCACTATGGCAACAACAGCCACCTCACGGGCCAAGAACAGAGCCCTTTATTGACGTTATTTGTGCGAAATACAAGCTATAAAGTAAAATAGTCCTGTTTAAGTTCAAGTTTAATCTTTTCAAAAGCTGGTAATGATATTAGAGATGGCTCGATTTACTTATTTATTTAAAATAATTTGTATCTTGTGTGTGGAATAACAAGCAACACAAAGTCGCAAGATTAAATTTAATATTTTGTGAAAAGAACTGACCTAATTAACTTTCCTGGCTCTAGGGTTTTATCACATTTGTTAGCTGGACTTAAAGATACATTTTACATAAGTTAAGATAGATAAGACAAAATAAGATAAAATAAGATAGACTATATTGATTTCACAATTGAGACATGTACGTGTCACATTTGGTCTTTTTGTCACTCAAGGTGTGTAAAATGAGAGGAAGTGTGCAAACAAGTTGAAATATAAAATTTTTGTGCAAGATATATTATGTACAATAAAAAGAAAAGTGACTATAGAAGTGCGAGTGTTTCAGTCCTTGTGCAGGTCATTAAATGATTAAACATTTGTACAGTCTGACAGCAGTGGGGATGCGGTAGTGCTCCTTCTTGCACTGAGGGTGTTTCAGTCTTTTAGAGATAAAACTAAAGCAGCCATATGATTGTTTCCATCTTGTTTTGTTAAGCACTTTGAGTAGCCGTGTATATGAGCTGTGCACTTACCTAGCCTTTGCACTTTACTACATCATGTACAGTATTCATTGTCCACGTTGTTTCTCTTTAGAATGGCTTCACTCCCTTGTACATGGCGGCGCAGGAGAACCATCTGGACGTGGTGCAGTTTCTTCTGGAGAACGGTTCCAGTCAGAGCATTGCCACTGAGGTATACAAAACAGACACACGTGAGAATCCCCCAGATCCCGCAGACAGCCCTGGGCTCCCTAATGTTTGTTTACCTCCAGTCACAGCTCATAACAGACGCTAATAGCACCTTAGCCCAACCTGCCATCAGCCACGACCACTGTCCTCCCTGTAATCACTGTGGTGCTGACAACATGGGAGCTGGCTCGAGAAGACTCTGTCATACTGTGATGTAGTAGTAGTAGTAGTAGTAGTAGTAGTAGTAGTAGTATTGGTAGTAGTAGTAGAAGTTGTGGTGGTAGTAGTAGTAAAAGTAGTAATGGTAATGGTAGTAGTAGTAGTAATAGAAGTAGTAGTGGTAGAAGTAGTAGTAGTGATAGTAGTAGTAGTAGTGATAGTAGTAGTAGTAGTAGTAATAGTAGTAGTATCAGTTTTAGTTGTTCTAACATTTTTAATTTGGTCCGGGTGGTAGTAGTAGTACTAGTAGTAGTAGTAGTACTAGTAGTTCTAGCGTTTTGAGTAGGTTAGGGTAGTAGTACAGTTGTAAACATAGTAGTAATATCAGTATCAGTAGTATTAAGCCTTGCTGTCACTGTGCCTAAAAAGAAATACTCAAAATGTAACCCATAACAAAAAACTTTCTATATTTTTTGAAGTAACTAAGTATTTTAACTTGAGTAAGCCGACATCTTACTGAAGGCTAATCACCCAATGTCCACATCTAAGTACAATGCCGGCGGTGCATCATTTCTAAGAAAGCTTGAACCGGAAAATGCAGTGTAGTAAATACAGGACGTGGCTGTTTGTGAGTATTTGGCCTCGGCTGTGGACGGTCTCTCATGTGTCGCTCTGATTGATGCTTTTGCAGTAGTATCGGCCGACTGCCAACAACCGCCGCTGCAACAAAAGGGACAAAGACAAACTTCTCCTTTGAAAGATCTGTATTTCAGTGTTGGAAATCGCCCCATTTTTTCTCAAGAGTCACAAAGAAATCACACGTTGGCCAAGCACAAAAAAAAAAATTCGGCCATGTTGTTTTTGTATGCAATCGTTAGAAGACACATTTTAGGAGGTTATTTTTTAGCATTGTTCCTCATTGTTCCTTCAAAAACAGTCCAGGAGTTGTTTTTAGCTCCATCTGTGCTAATATTATAATCTCTTCTACAGTCAGGACTCGGGACGGTCATTGCAAATTAGCCTTGTCTACATATGTTGCCGTATGTCACATGTTGATCGTGCGTGCTTCCAATCATATGAAAAAAAAGTCCCCCTGCCCCTTCTGTCTAAATGCTCCATTCTCAAACCTGTTACACTCGAATGAATCATTGCACAATAACGTTCAGAGCCTTTTTATGCCTTTTTAAGTATTTTCCATAATTCAAATTTGCTAATTTTTCCAGTAAAATATGATCATTCTTGATATCTGTGTGGCAACAACTATGTTTGAAGCATGTAATGTTTGATGTTGACAAAAAAGGAAGGCATAATATTGATTTAGTTTAATTTAACTAAAGCGGCTGCAGACATTGAACAACTGTGATTATTATTATATACATACTATTAAAATGGGTTGTTTTCTGTATGAATACCAGGTACAATAATTCCAAAAACAACAAGCTCTCACATAGACAGTCTGAAAGCCCACAGTTAGTCCATCATACATTGCTGAAATCGCATGACATTAATATTTCAAAGCGCACATATGAATGGATATACATTTCTCTACATGCATTATTGATTCAGTGATGGGCAGAAGTGCAGAGTGAGGAGGGAGTGTGAGGACTCGCGGGAAGGGAACGAGACAAGGAAGCAAACAAGGAAGCAAGGAAGCAACGAGGAAGCATCTGAAGGAAGGAGAGCAGAGAGGGAGAGGTGATGCAGAGCTGATGCAGTGAGACAAGACATTTTCACATCTTCAAGGACAAAGCAAAGACGAGCGCTCTCTAAGTTTAGGCCCAAATCAGATGAATGTTGAAACTGTTCCGGTATTTACGGCTTTGATGAGGACTGTTCTGATTCAACCTAACAGATTTTTTTATATTTCATCTCCAAATGAGCAACACCCTGACTTTATCTTTACTTATAATGGTTGAACAATGAAATGAGGTTTTCACAGAGACCACTATTGTAATTTGTAAAGGGCTTTCTATGGGCTTGGTCTGTGAAATGTGCCATATAAATAACACTTTCTCATACAATAGAGCATTTATACATTGTGTGGAAAGACATATGAGAAATTAGCTTCAAAAACCCATTCATTTTCTTCTGCAACGGATGAAGCGGAAGAAATTGGATGGGTTATTCAAGTAACTCTTCAAATCTCTCTTCTATCATGCCTGAAAATGTATTGTCTAAGAAATCTCTCTAAGAAAGAATTAGCAGCAGATGTGCTAGAAAACTCCACATTTTTTATTTCTAAGTCAATTTGATCTGGTCCATACTATTACTACTTCTACCGTAACTTCTATCCTCCTATTCATAAAGTTTCATTCACTTTTTTTGTCTTGTATGTATCGCTTTCCAGGACGGCTTCACTCCCCTGGCGGTGGCGCTGCAGCAGGGCCACGAACAGGTCGTTTCTCTGCTCCTGGAAAACGATACGAAAGGGAAGGTCCGCCTCCCCGCTTTGCACATCGCCGCGCGCAAAGACGATACAAAGGCGGCCGCTCTCCTGCTTCAAAACGACCACAACGCAGACATCGAGTCCAAGGTAAAGGACTGCAGTTCCCACAATGCAGCTGAGGGGAAATAAACCCCCAAACTTGTTATTATCCGGGGGAATCTTCCACCATCGAGTTGTTGTTCATGGTCTCATTCATACCCATCGACAGCTTGGTGCAAACATGGTGTCTTTTGGTGTTTTCGTGATGCACTAACCGCCCCATTCTTCCTCCCTCCTCCTCTGTCTGTGACCCGCCCAATCTTCCCCCTTTTTTAAATCCTAGATGGTGGTGAATAGGACTACTGAGGTACACCTCCACTGCTCTGTCTCTCTCCTCTCGTTCACTCTCACCATTTCCCTCAAGGCTCAAGTCTTTTGCCTGTCGCTGCGGTGCGCTTATCTGCTGGCATGGATTATCTGGCAACCCTGCTTTGAAACTGCAGCATTGTGACTTGGCTTTTTGCAGTGTCTTGCTTATTAATGGGCAATGCATATATAAACTTGACTCTCAGAACATTGAAGTTCGTAACAGTTTTCTTTGACTGTTTAGAACTAACTTAGAGATGCCATAATATTGCTGAAATAGAGGAAATCGCTCTGTCATTCTGTCATTAATTTGCCTCAATCAAAACGTGAAAATGTCTTTGATTGATAACTGACGACATTTCGTACAATCTACTAGTAATCGTTAAGATGTAGTAGATCACATTTTCCTCATCTCTTTGGCCCATCACTGTTATACTGTATTTCAAACCAATTCAATCAATTATCACTGTCTTTAAAGCTTGGGTACCTAACTTTCAAACCACAAAAATTTATGTCATAAAATCCATCTAAATAGTTGTTCGCTCTCACATGCGGATATATTTGGCCTCTGTCATAACTTTAGGTGAACTTTTTTAGACAAAAAGTGAAAAATAAATGACCATCCTTCAGTACTCAGCTCAATGCATCAAATAGTGAGTGAAAAGTCTCTTGTAGGCTCTAGTTTTATCAAATAAGACACAATTTTACTTTTACAAGACTTTTTCTGTCGGGGCAGAGAATGTGTATTATTAATGTGGGAAAAAATGTAGGTACCCCAGCTTTAAATAACATGTTTTTTATATAGATTCAAGTTGTGGCTCCAAATCTCAGCCACTTTGATGCATGCACAGCGCACACCTGCATGTCTGTTCTTTATGATCACATTTTTCTCCGGGTTTTTACGAGTTTCCTGTCACTTGAAAGAAAGTGAATGCCTCACTGGACTGGGCCTGTTCTGATCTCGATTCTACATTTCACTTGACAGGAATATGCTTTGTCTATAATGTTCCCAACATAAGTCACTAACCCCTCGTTGGACTATGATCTTATCCGAGTTCCTGCACAGTTTGACATTGGTCTTGCAGCTGCCACACTCCCCACACAATACGTTTTATGAGTTAATCCTTGAGCATGCTTGACCACTGCTGCCTATAGCCCTGGTCTGCTCCACTCTATTGCTTTTTTTGATCCACCTGTGTCAAAACTGCTCCATAATGTCCCATGTTGCTTTGCTCTGTGGCTCATTATGAAGCAGTTTAAACCCTCTTTCCTCATATCTAAACGATTCTCTTTTCTATTCCCCTTTTACTTTATGTTTCTCAGAGCGGCTTCACTCCCCTGCACATTGCCGCGCACTACGGCAACATCAACGTGGCTACATTATTGCTAAACAGAGGGGCAGCTGTGGACTTCAAGGCAAGGGTATGTACTCCAGGCCACTTCCAAACACGTGCAGGAGAATGCTTATACACTGCAGAGGGCGGGGATGGGTGCAGGAATGTGTCCCGTGATGGGATATCCCGCAGCTGTCTGTGCCACTCTACCATACATAGGACACCGGGGGGGAGATACTTACAGGCTGCATTTTTCAAGTTCTTCCTGAAGTACATTACTGTATATAGGTATAGTTTACTTCAAAATAAGAATGCAATGTTGTTGTTGGGCTCTGGAGCTAATCAAATTTACGATTGTCATGTCATTGACTGATCTGATAATCTATAAATGGTGTAGAATATGTGTATGTTCTACCTATTACATGCCTCGTTCGCTCTTGTTTCTTAAAAATGGTCAAGATTAAGTGATAATTTATTGGTCCCACAGTCGTGAAATTTCAGTGTTGCATCACAAGTTACAGAACTGTAGGAATGAGCACAATATAAATGAATAATATCTATACTAAAATATATAACTAGCATAAAAAGAAGCATTATAAATCTATCTTTAGCATAATAAGAAAATAAGTCTAAAATCTCGAACTTTAGCGCAATAAAGCAAGATTTAAGTAAAAATTTAAAAAAAACTGTTATATGTTTGTATCAAAAATAGTCACACAATAAATGACCTACACCTCGACTCATGATCGACACAATATCTCAGAACGATTTGACCAATTATGGCAAAAAAATCCACATTTAACCATGCGACATTTCCACCATCGGCAAAATCATATGCCTTGTCAGTGCGCTTCACTATAGGCCTCGATCTTAAACTGAGAAAATAATTGTTTTCTTTCTGTGACTTGGATTAAAACGTTCAGAAGCGTGAGCGGAGGAAAGCCGAGAAGGAGGTGAGTGAGGACTGGAGCTGCGTCTGTGAGAGGAGGCTGAGGGCGGGGATGACAGTGGCGCGCTGGCAGCAGGGACACAAACGCTATTCAAATTCTGCATATTCATAAAACAATGTATTTTGCAAGTTTAAAACCATGTGAATGTTGGTTGGGGAGAGGTACAGACACATGCTTCGATCCTGGCTCAGTTCTTTCTCCTCATTAAGTGAATCCAGAGTTTGCTTGCACCCGATTGGTCACACAAGTTGCCAATCAAGGCTTTGACGATCCCTGCTGTAGAGGCAAAGGAAAGAGTCATAAGAAAACTGTTTATTCCATTACTATTGATTTAGCTCTATACTTTCTCCACAATTCATTTTTGTCAGTATTAAATTATTTGCTCGAAATAATTGTGCTTTTGATTTCTGTAGCCTTATTTGGTTGTGTAGTAATAAATATAGCATCCGTGTGTTTGTTTTAACATTCTGTTTACACCATCTGCCCACGAGGTCTGCAGATAGAAACTAGCTCTAATCTGACATATTCACGTTTCTTTATAGATCGATTTCACACTTGTTATGGATAGCAAAATCCTTTTTTTTTTTTTTTTTTTATTCCAAGTGTGAATTGAATTGGCATCTTGTCTATGGTCTTCTCTTTGCCACTCATAACAACGCCGTGCGAGAAATCGATCTCACTGACTGTTCCTCATTTAGAATAATATGTATATGCCCATTATGTAATAGATAGACTGTATGCATTGCTTGAATTGCATTTCATTTTTAAAATAATGCATACTTTTGACCATTTGACGCTGTGCTATCGTGTATATAAACTGTATTTGTAATGGTCCTTCCTCTTGGCAAAACCCCGACCAGTACTAATGGCTGGGGGAGAATAGTTCGACCAATGGCAAGGATTTGAATTGATATTGTCCAATTAGGAAGCTGTGAGGCTGAGCATTGTGCTTGAAATAGTTTTCTCTCTATAAACAATTTGAAAAGGACCCAACCTTCACTTAAAAGCAGAAGAACAAATAAAATCCATTGTATTTTGTGTTTTCCTTTTTCTTAATGTATTTAAATAGTCTTTTGTATAGTAGTAGTAGTAGTAGTAGTAGTAGTAGTAGTAGTAGTAGTAGTAGTAGTAGTAGTAGTAGTAATTGCAGTGACCATCTCCAAAGATTTCAAGCAGGGCAGAAGTACAGGATTTCTGCAGACACCTCTAGAGGGCGATATAGAGCCATTGGTCTCTCAGGCTGATGACTTTTATAGCAGGGAAGCAGCCAGATTCTCTTCTCTATCTCACATTCTCACAACTATATCTTTATTATTACATGTTTGCATTTGTTTATTGGCATTCTGCTTCCAGTTTAATCTGTTTCTAAGTTCCTCCGACAGTGTCACATCACAGTATGATTCGAAAGGAAATGTGTTATGTTACTTCATGATTGGTTCTAATTGCAAAGTGATCTTCTCGCCTCTCTGCAGAACGACATAACACCGCTGCACGTCGCTTCCAAACGTGGGAACACAAACATGGTGCGTCTGCTGGTGGAGCGAGGAGCCAAAATAGACGCACGAACGAAGGTACATATTAACTGTTACAATTATTATATCAATTGTTCGCATTAATGTGCACTATGTGGGCTTGGAGGGAGGCTACGGTTTTGCTTAGAATAACATTTGACCTGGGGTATCTATGGAACCAAGCATAATTCTAATCTGATTTCTGGCAATAAAATCAATAAATATTTATTTACAGAACGCTTTTCCGACACAGTCCACATCACACAAGGCACAAATCACCACATAAAACACCAAAATCATTAAAACATTAAATCACATAAGGGATAACAAATTATTTTTAAAAAATGCATTAAAAAGAGGCAGGTTAAAATCCTTCAGTTGTAAAAGGTGAATAAATGAAAGTTAGGAATAAAAAGAATGGCTAATTTCTTCTGAATAAATGTGTTTTGTATTTTTTTTTTGTAGGATGGTTTGACTCCGCTGCACTGTGGGGCCAGAAGTGGACATGAGCAGGTGGTGGAGATGCTGCTGGACAGAGGAGCGCCGATCCTGTCCAAAACAAAGGTACTATTTCAATATCTGGAGTGGAAGAGGAAAGCGGACAATTTATCCTCACTTCAGTTCAATTCAGGTTTTTTTTGTTTCAAACACAGAAATATAACGATGACAAACACATAAGAGCCAGTGGTTCTTAGGAAGCAGGATGACCATTGTTCATAAATCCATAAATGTTTCAGATCATCACATAACATAGATTCAAAAACAGCTTTAAAAATCAAGATAAATAACATTTGAATTATGTAGTTTGAGAAAAGAAAATCTATCGACACATTCTACGACATTTATGGACATTTATCAACATTCACGGACATTGGTCTCTCCCTATGGACTAAAACCTACTGTATGTGTTATATATTTTGTGTGTCTCTGATCTGTGTTGGCGATTTCAACGGTTTTGTTTAGTCCTCTGAGATAACTACTGTTGTGATTGAGGACTATACAAGAATAAATTGAATTGAATTTAGTAATAGTTTCAGAACAGAGGATGTGTTGCTAGGTCGGGGAAGTAACTCACAGTCAAAGCAACATAAATGTTATGACTTTCTCGATTATTGTCTTTGTATTTTTCATTTTTAGAAATACAGTGTATGGTTAGTCTGCATTCATAGATATAGGTATGATTTTTTATGATAATAGCAACTATAGCGACTCTAGTGCCTATTGCCGCTGGAGAGGAGAAACCGGGTTCGTCTACTCTACAGTAATTGTATGACGCGCTGCTTGGCTGTCACAGAGCACACTTCGTCAAGGATTAAGTTTGATGGCGTTTTAATGAAAAGAAACACGAATGAGGTGATAACATAACGTAGACGTCTTGATATTGAACAAAACAGTGAGCAAACAAAGTCACAAAAAAGAACAAACACAAACGAACGGTCAACAAAAACTACGGCGACCCAGCCCCCCTCTCTCTACTACTGATTTCATTCATAAAACTGAGGTGAGAACTAAGTAGACACCGCCCCAGTAACCACGTGACCCACACCCGGCCTATCACCCAATCAAATCACAGCCCACTGTTATATTCAATTTATGGCTCCTACAGCAACTGTGATGCTCCTGTGTGTGCCTAAAATAAATAAAATTAAGTAATGGTACTTCTGACATACTGTGGTTTAACGTTTTGAGCCCCCATTGAAGTGCAGATAGAACTGTCTGAGTTGTATCATTGTTTCGACCTTTTATTATTCCCAGAAAGCAATTATTTTTTTATGTAATATTTTGTCCAATCACCTCTGTTGTAAAAGTGACAGGGAAACATCTGCAGTAGTAGAACTAAGACAGAACATAAAACCCCATTGTTCTCTTGCAATTACTGTATGAAGTTATGAGCTGCACATCTGTTTTATGCTGCTCCTAAACCCAGCCCTTTACCAGCTGCCTGCTCAAGACAAACTAAAGGAGAAATTCAAAGTTTGTGCAGGTTTTCTGATTGGAGGAAAGTCTACGTATGAAACTCAAACCAGGAAGTATCATTATTGAGCTGTTAATAAATTATGTTTTTAGTGAGAACAAGTAAATACAGGCCCTTAAAGCTCTCATATGTACCGTTCAAACCGCAAAATAAGTGAAAAACTCCAACCAACTACGCAAATGGTATTTTATTTTACTTCTGTTTACATCTTCCGCCAGAAAAATTAAAAAAAATGTCGGCAATGAGCTCTCAGTTCACTTTATCAATATATTAAAGAACATATATTTTAACATGAATATTGATTCAAAACTATTTGATGAATGAAGCCGGTCCACAAACTGCTGCATTGAGTTACACAATCCCCATCACAACAAAGTCAGCAGCCAAACCCAGAATCATTCATTTTTGCTTAGATACCAACTCTTTAGAATCCTACATTTATCACAAACAAAAAAATCAGAGCAATGGCCTTTATAATTAGGTCATTAATGAGAAGAGAAGAGAAAACAATTAAAACATGGCTAAAGGATCATAAAAGTACATTTTTTAGTACATGGCATCATAACAGTATTCAAGATCAACATTACATAAGAGATTACATGACAAGAAATGTAGTTGAAATTGATTGTGAGATAGACATATTATTAAATCCAATCCATTTTTATAGCAGATTTAAAACGTCTGCACGGTTTGAAGCAGTTACTAACATAACTATGGTTCTTCGCTGTCTTCAACCTCTCACTCTGCTCTCTCCTTGGCCTCCCCTGCAGAACGGCCTGTCCCCGCTGCACATGGCCACGCAGGGCGACCATTTGAACTGTGTGCAGCTGCTCCTGCATCACGAGGTCCCGGTGGACGACGTGACTAACGATTATCTCACGGCGCTCCACGTGGCCGCGCACTGTGGCCACTACAAGGTCGCCAAGGTCATCGTGGACAAGAAAGCCAACCCCAACGCCAAAGCACTGGTGAGCGCACAAGCACAGTCCCTTTGTCATGTCGGCGATAAGGTGGCGGGCGGTTAGAGCTGTGGCCTCGCAGAAAGGTGGTTCAAGGTGGAGTTTGCATGTTCTCCCTATGTCTGTGTATAGGTTTTCTCTGCGTGCTCTGGGTTTCCCTACCACTAGAACCTTTGGAATCCAGTCATTGAGGTTATTTGCATATGCATTTGTTTTTAACAACATTCACAAAATCCCATAGATGGCGCTAATGTAGTTGTAATGTGAATCATTATGGACATATGCAACCCAATTGTAAATCCCACAACATCCCGTATTAGTCAAAAATATTTTACAATCTATAGGAGTATAGTCTAACCCATTTTCAAAAGGTTTATTTTGTATCCTGTTGTTTTATGTTGAATAAATAGAAGTTTGAAATAAAATTATAATTGATTGAAATTGAGTTGTAGTAGTAGATGTAGTGGTGGCAGTAGTAGTAGTATTAGTAGTAGATGTAGTGGTGGCAGTAGTAGTAGTAGTAGATGTAGTGGTGGCAGTAGTAGTAGTAGTAGTAGTAGATGTAGTGGTGGCAGTAGTAGTATTATTGGTAGATGTAGTGGTGGCAGTAGTAGTAGTATTAGTAGTAGATGTAGTGGTGGCAGTAGTAGTAGTAGTAGTAGATGTAGGGGTGGCAGTAGTAGTAGTAGTAGTAGTAGTAGATGTAGTGGTGGCAGTAGTAGTAGTAGATGTAGTGGTGGCAGTAGTAGTAGTAGTAGTAGTAGATGTAGTGGTGGCAGTAGTAGTAGTAGTAGTAGTAGATGTAGGGGTGGCAGTAGTAGTAGTAGTAGTAGTAGATGTAGTGGTGGCAGTAGTAGTAGTAGTGGTGGCAGTAGTAGTAGTAGTAGTAGTGGTGGCAGTAGTAGTAGTAGTAGTAGTGGTGGCAGTAGTAGTAGTAGATGTAGTGGTGGCAGTAGTAGTAGTAGTAGTAGTGGTGGCAGTAGTAGTAGTAGTAGTAGTGGTGGCAGTAGTAGTAGTAGTAGTAGATGTAGTGGTGGCAGTAGTAGTAGTAGTAGTAGATGTAGTGGTGGCAGTAGTAGTAGTAGTAGTAGATGTAGTGGCAGTAGTAGTAGTAGTAGTAGATGTAGTGGTGGCAGTAGTAGTAGTAGTAGTAGATGTAGTGGTGGCAGTAGTAGTAGTAGTAGTAGATGTAGTGGTGGCAGTAGTAGTAGTAGTAGTAGATGTAGTGGTGGCAGTAGTAGTAGTAGTAGCGGTTGTGGTAAAAGCCTGTGTATGAATATTTCATGTAGATCCTATTGCTTTTTGTGCTGCTTGCTCTGATACTGTTGGTACTACTGTTCACAAATAAACATGTAGACCATGTATAGTGCAGTGCAATTAAGCCAATTCATTTTGGTGTCTTTTTTCCTGAAATGTTTTGCTAAAATTAATGGAAAAGACACTTCCGGAAAGTTGTAGTGCGCGGTTGAACTCCAGAACGCTTTGATACCAACAATTTTCCCAAGTGAAACCCTAAACGTCCCTTTCTTGATCCGGGCTGTGTTTTATGCTCCGTTAAAAAGTCGGTGTACTCTAATCTAAGGCGTCTGGGTGTGGTCGCAGCTCTGGGACCGTAAAACTAGAAAGCAGAAAGAAGAAAATGAAGTCATAGGATTAAGCCAGACACAGGCAGAGATAGTTAGCAGCGTGTGGACTGTGTGGGTTGGTAAGAGGACAGTATGGGACCAATGCTTTTTTCACTTTGTGGCTGACGCAATTGTTCCTACACGTGCTCGTCTGGTTTGTAAGGGGAAAAAAGTTGGATGTTGGAGGGTATTTTCCATGCCATTTCTGGAACCTGTGCCTACTGCTGCAGCATGTGGAAATGTGGGATTGTTTAGTTTAATGTAATAAAGTGGTTTCAGTATCACCTGTGCTTTAGATTATTGCTGTATCGGAGCCTTTCGTCTTTAGAGCTGGTATATATGTATGTCGTTTCAAATCAGACCAAAACATGCTGGATTTATCTTATTAAAAAACATATATTTTCCATCCTGAGAGCTGATTGGCTGAGGGCTGGTGCTCTATTTTTTTACTAAAAAAGCTGTGACATCAACAATACAACGAGAAAATGCCTGTAGTTGCTTTTTGTGTTTTTAAAGTTAAGAACTCTTGCTTTAATGAATAAGCTGTAATCACACTAATGTTGTTTGGGGTTTTAACTGTATTAGGCCTAAATGTCGTCCTCTAATCAAAAACAGTTGTTGTTTCATTCCTGCAGTATTGAGCAATTCTTGTTTTGGCTTTGCCTGTTTTCCGGGGCTACAATTCTTGGTCCCTCTGCATGATGTCAGTAAAGCTAGGGTACCTAACTTTGAAACCAAAACTGCTTGGATATCACTAGTTTTCATCTAATCAGCTCTCAGCAGGTAAAAGATCAAATGTTTTCGAGTAGGATTTAAATACAGCATATGCTCTGATTTGTTCACGAGATTTTACTTAAATAAGACTCATTCTGATGGGATAAACAACATGTATTTATTTTTGTTGTGGTGGTTTTAGTGGTCAAACCCCTTCTGATATACAATGCATTTAAATCACACTGGTTATATCTGCAGGGAATTTCAGTTTTTTATTTTTTTTGTCCTAAGCCTCAAGATGTATTTGTATTTTTTTCCAGAATGGGTTCACCCCTTTGCACATTGCCTGTAAGAAGAACAGAGTGAAAGTGATGGAGCTGCTCTTGAAACATGGCGCATCCATACAAGCCGTCACTGAGGTACAAGCAACCAACTCGTTTTCATCTAGTGTCAGAAAAACTCAACAACACGGGATTTCAGAAGTTGAATCACCTACTGCACTTAAACATGGGGTGGAAATATAGTTCAAAAGATGTACACAGACTTAATGGAGCAATATGTAAAAAATCTGGCCAAAAGTGGTACTGCAGCCTCTCCCACTCTCTCTGACTCAGGTTGCCAGATATGCAGAACAATCCAGCTGGGACCACAAAAGCTGAATAAACAAGAGTTGCATCAAAATGAAAATAATAACAAGATTTAGGGGCTGTAAATCCAATTTTGAATTATCTCGGCTGAACTCGGCCATTTATTGATGACAAATCTTACATATTGCTACTTTTAAGTGACTACAGTAAAGCAGTAAAGCATTTTTACCCCAAATGAGCCAGAATTGCTCCAGTTAAAGTGTGAAAGTGTTTTATTGAGTTTAAGGCTTCGATCCAATTTATCAAAGCACATTTTACCAGAATAAACTCTGCAAAGTGCTGCATACAGATGACATCAATAATCTCACTGTTTAGAGCACAGACTTTAAAATCCATATAAAAAGGATATGGTCACTGTGTACATTGTATATATTCAAAATCACTTTAAACGTAGCAATAAAAGTATAATAATAAATGCACCATATTTTTTGTTATAAGCAAGTTTTTTGGGCTGGAACATTAACCATAAATACTTGGTTATTAGCTAATGTAATGCACATAATTACTGTACTGCTTATTAATGCCTTATAATGGCCTACTAAAATACTTTAATTTAAATCGTTTCCAAATATTTATACACTTAGTTTAGTTTGGTTGAGTTTAGTTTACTATTCTTTGTCACATACACATTACATGCAGTGAAATTCTCATGTACCTCCAGCAATATTTAAGAATACTGTAAGAAATATGCAAACTACTACAATTTTGACTTTCTGTAATCTTTTCTTATTCAAACCTTCTCTGTTGTGTCGCTATAGTCTGGTCTCACTCCCATCCATGTGGCAGCTTTTATGGGACATGACAACATTGTTCATCAGTTGATCAACCACGGGGCGTCTCCAAACACAAGCAACGTGGTGAGTGTTTCTATTAACGTGATTTTTACCGATGCAGAGAGTGGATTTTACATTCTGTTTGGATAATACTTTTGTCAGAGTATTGTATATGTCTTTTTAGTTAGAATTTTTACTTAATTCAAAACTATACCGTTGAAATTGTCTCATATCGCAAAGAAAACACACTTTCCACTAGAGATTTACACATAGTAGTAGTAGCAAGAATGACAAAAAAGTATGTGTATTATCTATTAGTTAATTACATTTATGCTTGAAACTTTACAAACCCAGGCAGACATTTGGATTTGATGACCATATTCCAAATGATAAACCAAATGGGTTGTCATAGGCCATTTATAATCTGTTTTCCATTTTCAAATTATAACGACAACAAGAACTACTCAAATGACCCTGATCAGAAGTCTCCATCCCCCAGTTCTCAACACCATGTATCTCTTGACAGCTTGGTGTCTTTGATGGTAGTTGTGGACGAGGCTATTTCTCTTGTCTGACGTGAAACTACCCATTCTTCTTGGCAAAAAGATTCCACTTCCTGTAAATTCCTGGGCCACCTTGCATGAACTGCATGAGATCTCTCAAAGGCGACTCAAGAATGTTGTAATTTGAATATAGAAAACATGTTTATTGGCACTAAATGGCCTCACACAACCACTAACATTTAGTTGTTGTGTTATGTTTCTTGGTGACTTTTCTCTCTGCTTAAACAAAGAGATTTTCGAGAAATGGCAACACTACAGAACACTATTGTAAAGTAGCCAAAAGCAGCCAGTAGTGTGTAAATAAACAAAAAGTTGAGTGGGAGGGGGAAACAGCCGAGTCCTATCTCTTCAACCCCAACTATTTGTTCGCCCACGCTGCTTCTGTGGCCAGGTTTCCGTGGTAACTCAGCCTATGGGACGTCATTATGGTTTAAACAGGGGGGGCGGGCAGAGAGGGGGGATCCTGCTTTTCCTATCCCGGGACACTGTACGTCAGACTGTGCTGAGTATTGGACTATTGCCTTTGTCTTGAGTTTTTTCTTCCTGGATTGGTTGGGAATGTGGAAGACTGCAGTTTTTGGGGAATAATCAAAGCGCTTTTTGTGGATTTAATTTTTTGCAGAGAGGAGAGACAGCGCTTCACATGGCAGCGCGAGCGGGACAGTCCAATGTGGTGAGGTATCTGCTGCAGAACGGGGCGCGAGTGGATGCCAAGGCCAAGGTAAAATATATACACATTCATTCAGATTGGAGTTTTGGCAGTCATTGGGTTAAAATATGAGGTATACATGTTCTTTAGATAACAAAAACAGCACTTTTCACACTTGTTTTGTTTGACTAATTTTAAAGTTAGATGTATTATGCATATTGTTCAGTATATTCCAATTATTGTTAATGTATTGTAAAAGTATTCCATATACTTCCAAATTCCCAATTATATGTGTATAAGTGAGTTTTCCAGAATCGTACCCAAAATAAAATTGACTTTGTTTTTCTATGGTGTTCTACAAATTGCTCGTATTATAGAGATGATAATAATTAAAACATAAATGTAATGTACTTAAAAGGCTGCAGATTTAGTTATTCAATATATAAAGAGTTTTCCTATCCAAAACATGGAGAAAGACTCTTATCGACAACATAATAGATCTATGTGTTGTAATGTGAAGTAATTGTTTGTATGAATGAGGATTTCAATGAGCAGCCGAATAACTTGAATAATATATTGTTGGTAAATTGAAGTTGCCAATAGTGAGTTCAATCCAGTGCTGGCTCCCCACTCCCCTCCCACTGCCCAGGTCAGACTTGTCCCAGGACAATGGAGGACTTTTTCCTCTTCAATGGGGGGCTGTCTGTCATTGTGTGTCCGTGGTTGCCGACCCGCCTACAAACACTGCAACTCTAATATATGTCCAAGTAGATAGATTATACATGTGAATGCATTAAAATGAATGAATTAACCAATTATCAAGAAACGAATCATAAGAAGTTAACACACTGGAGATCTGTGTTTATGACCCGAGTTGAAATCCTGCATTTATGCCAAATGTGGGAATAGTGGGCGTGTTGTTTGGACCTGTCAATACAAACTTACGCCTTTAAAATCAGTCTTTTCTTTAACGCAGTGCACTCAAGGAATCACGTTATAATGGACCAGGGTAAGCTTTTAATCCATGTGGAGAAATATAAACATTTTCAAACTATAATTATCTTTACAAGGACAAGCAAGTGTGCAAAAATCCAAACTTTGATGGTGCGAGCTTCACGGCCTGTTGCTGTATAATATCATTATGCAACGTATTGTCTTATGGGTGTAGTTTTAAAACCTTCTTAACCTGACCTGTATGTAAGAAACAGGCTGTAAAACAATTTGGTTTTACTGCTGTTGAGATTACCTTTTTGGCCACACTGATCCTGCCAAGGGAAAAAGACAAGGTCGCGAGGCGGGTTTGACTGCAGCTGCCTCCAATGACGTTACAAAAACAGAGAGATTACAAGACATATCTCCTGTGGCTAAATGTGTCGGGTGGAAACACTCAAAATAACCCAACAGGAGAAACCACAAAGGAAGGTGTCCACTCCCAATGAAGGAGGGCCGTGCAGTGCATGTGTGTATGGTTATTCAAGATAGTGTGACATATATTTTTGTAAGTTTGTCCATAGAACATAGAAAATAGCATGAATAAAACAAGCGGCAACCAGAGGGAAAAGCAAAAAAGTACAAAGAAAATGTTTTAATTACTAGGGATTTCTTTATTGTCTTGTTCATGTGGTGCCAATATGCGTTTATATCTGATAAGCTTATATTTATATAAAGGCACCTGTATGTATAAAATAGTAAAATTACATTCCTCATTTAACTTTCTGGCATTAAAATAGTTTGAAATGCAAATTCCACCATTTATTTTCCAGGACGACCAGACAGCGCTGCACATTGCCAGTCGACTGGGGAAACCAGACATCGTTCAGCAGCTCTTGTCCAATGGAGCGTGTCCCGACTCCAGCACCAGCTCTGGGTACACCCCCCTGCACCTGGCAGCGCGGGAGGGTCACCGGGACATCGCCGCTGCCCTCCTGGACCAGGGCGCAGGCCAAGGGGTCACCACCAAGGTCTGGGGACTGCTGATTTACATTGATTTTATGTAAATTTGTATGTGTATTTCTGTTGGACAAAACCTTTTTGCAGATACAGTAGTGCTCAAAGGTTTACACACACCCAGGCAGAAATGTAAATGTCTGTTGGCCATATTATTAGGAACACAAAATGCAAATACTAATTTTGTATGGTTGTGTGAAGCTATTGTTGCCAAATAAACATGTTTTCTATTATAAAATGACAATGACCCCGATTAGAAGTTTACATCCCTCAGTTTTGGGCATAAGAATGGGCAGCAGGACAAAGAACCTCATTTTTGACACTGCCCATTGTGCTGCCCTTTTTTTTTTTTGGCACGAAACCAGCAGTTCCTGAAGATTCCTGGGCTCCCTTGCATTATCAACATATTTGAGCATTCCACAGATTGGCACAATTAGGCTATGATTTGGAAATAGAAAACACAACCACTAACAGTGGGTGGATAAACATGTGGTTGTGTTGTCATGCATAATCTTCCAAACTATGAAATCTCTGGCTCAAGCACAACTCAACTCTTCTCTAAATAATGAACTGGTGTTGGAACCATATTTATACTGGTCTTTAATGTGGGCGATCAACTGTAATAGTTATTTTTTAATTATTGGTTAAATTTTTTGTCTTTATCCGGATTAAGCTGGGTTTGGATTAGACTAGTTCTACATCCAAAAAGACCACCTGGAAGCGTCCAGTCTGCTGCTGGTGGAGGTGTTTGTACACAAATCAAAGCCTGAATGAATATTGTGTTTATAATGTATGCCAAGCCTTGAGCCTTATGTTAATTAGTATTGCGTTTTTCATCTTAATAGCTATGCCCACAAGAGAAAGTCAATACTGAGTTATAGCTGCCCATAACTTAGACCTGTGTGGAATCCAAGGTGACAGAAGGTTAAAATTGCCTATATTGAAATCTGTTTTTAGGTAAAGTTTAGTACTTCATCATTGCAGTGGTATGTTATCTACGTATTCTCAATACCTCATTGTTGTTGACTTTAGTTTGACGTCAGCTTTTAGTGACAAAATAATTGAATCCTGATGCTGTGACATAACGTTTTTAGCAGATACGCCCAACTCAGGAAATCCATATAGAGTTGAAGAAGTTTTCCATATTAATATTAGGTCTGTTTTGTGTTTCAGAAGGGGTTTACTCCCTTGCACGTAGCAGCAAAATACGGGAAGATTGAAGTAGCAAACCTGCTCTTACAGAAGGGCGCCCAGTCAGATGCTGCTGGGAAGGTAAGCTATAACTAACTCAACTGGCACTCTAAAATTACTTCTGCTGGCCATGCTAACTTCTTCCATGGGTAGACTTTCAGATCATACTCAAAATTGTAGGGTTTTGGCCTGATTTGTGGCAACGTTTTTCAAATCAAAGCTGGAGTAGCAAAGATAATGTTTTCTGTTGGCTGATAAATAGTTGGAATAAAGAAGAATAGTTGGATTGGTGAGACAAGTTTGTGTACAAGAGGATGAAATGAATAGTGTTTTAGTCAGAGCTTATTAGTTACTTATTCAGACTATTAAGATTATTACTGTATGAAAAGGTTTTAGGGTTATGAAACGTCATTGTGATTATATCTTTTGAATGTGAGAAAGGTCAAAGCTGGGGTACCAAACATCTGTTTTCATGAATTCAGAGTCTCGAGAAAGTAATGCTGTCGTTATGTCTCAAAAACTGATTGAAAGGTGTGATGGAAACTGTATCGAGAGCTAGGAAGTGTTAGTTTGATGGATTTTATTAAATTGTTCCTTTAGTTGTGGTTTTGAAAAATTAGGTACCCCAGCTTTATTTTATTTATATTATTTTCTTGATCAATATTTTCACAATCCAATTCACTGTCTACCGATTGAAGAATGTGATAAAATGAATGAAAACCAACTCAAACATGTGCGCTTTGGGACAGGAGGAACTTTTTGTATTATTTATGTTCTGCCCTGAGTAAAAGGGATGTTCAGAACAGCAAATGGTTTCTTCTGTGCAAACCGCTTCTATTACTTGAGCTCATCCCTCACAGTCGTCCACTGAAGGGAATGTCTAACAGCCTGTGTACACATGTGTTCAGAGTGGACTAACCCCACTGCATGTGGCAGCGCACTATGATAACCAGAAGGTGGCGCTGCTCCTGCTGAACCAGGGAGCCTCGCCGCACGCTGCAGCCAAGGTACGTGAGGTGGAGAGGCTGAAAGTGCACCGCAGCCTCTCTCTGTCCCTGTGTGAACGCTCCATGACCTACTTTTGAGCAATTAGAATTCACTCTGCGTAGGATGGAAGTGTTTTTATGACCGGATGCTGTTCAGATCTGTAGAGATTCAGTTTCTCCTCTAAAATGTTATGTTCTTATGGTGATGTTCTATTGATTCTATATTTAGATTAGATTCTATATTAGATTCATTACAATGTTCAGAGCAATGCAAGTACGTTTAGCATCCATCAGAAATGCAGAAGCGCAGGTATAGGATAATATTTACTACACAGATACATATGAATGCAGTAGTATGTATGATAAAGGATGGGTCAAAGGTTTATTTTAGAATCTATGGTTCTGTTTGATATCTTGACACTGTTTATCACACACTGTATGACTGTTCAGTTCCTTCTCTGTCTTCATTATTATAGGTAAGTATTTAAAGGGATCAAAATATGTCTTTGTCATTGTTAAAGCATAGTCATAGGTGGAAGTCTCACAGCCTGTTAGCATACGTCATCTAATATTAGGGTCCAGTGTAGTGTAAAAAGAATACAGATCTGACAGTCTGTTGTCAGTTTGCAGACTTCTCTCCCAAAAACATTTTGTGAGGCTGAAGATTTGAATTGTTTTTTAGCTGCTTCTTTATATGGAACAACTGATTGTTCATTCATTTCATTTGAGAACAGACAACGAACCTGAAACTTATTAGTATTTGTACCGATAGCTGTTGATGGACATTAAAATCCCATTACGTCCCATTACAAACAACCTGCCATCAACCCATTGTCCCAACGTTCATTTAAACACTGTGTACTGTATATCCACTGATAGATGTCTTAAAATATGCACTTGTCCTACTTCTCATGCAGAACGGATACACACCACTTCACATTGCAGCTAAGAAGAATCAGATGGAAATAGCCACGACGTTACTGGAGTATGGAGCCTCCACCAACACCGAAACACGCCAGGGCATCACTCCTCTCCATCTGGCGGCACAAGAGGGCAACGTGGACATGGTCACGCTGCTGTTGGCTCGGGACGCTCCCATCAACATGAGCAATAAGGTGCTCATTTTGTCCCTAAAACATGACATAGAGAATTTAATGTTTTATAATGGATATATAAGAGTAATGGAAAATGGGATGGTCAGGGTTAGGAACTCTCCAATGTCCAATGGCAGTAGTTGAAAACCACTTGTATTTGTTTCTGCTTTTATCATTCTCCATCAAGAATACTGCTGTCTAATTGAAGGCATACACTCATAGTCTTAGCGTAACAAGATTGAAAACAGAGCTTTTAAATAGAAGGGATGGAGGGATACGTTTGTGCCAGAAGTTGTTGCTGTTATTGTGGATCAGGGTGATTTTGCATAACTGTCCTTTAAGTTTAACTTTCACGATGCAACTTTTAGTACGGACTTTTTCATTGATTTACCCCTATATTTTTCCACAGTCTGGCCTGACACCGCTCCACTTGGCTGCCCAGGAGGATAAAGTCAATGTGGCTGAAATTTTAGTAAATCAGGGAGCGACTATTGACCCAGAGACCAAGGTCAGTTCCTTTTATGATGATGATGATTTTTTCTTATTGGCTTATGTATTGTGGATGGTAAATACAAATAGTGCACTATCTGCT